AAGGGTTCTCTAAGATGGCTTGAAGGCTGCTTTGTGCTGCTGGAGCAGAAGAGCTATGGGGAGGCTAGGATCTGGCCCTGAGTCATGGCGGCAGTGGTCTAAATCAGGTCTGTAATAGAAAGATAAAGGGAAAAATCTGCCCCTAAATCTATAGCATTGCTTTGGTGTAAGTGAGAGAGCATTTGGCATATACTTCTAGTAAAATTTCTTGGCCAGTTCCCCTATGAAGACCTAAAATAGTCCCAAGTGCTGCTTTTTTAAGATGCAATTAACTTTTAATTCCAATTCTAATATCAGTTAAGGAGGAATCCAGCCTGTGGGACACAAGCCAGATCTCACCTCACTCATGCTAGTAACCTGGGCAAAATCTTCAATTTGCACCTCTCTAGGTCCTTGCATCTAGGCTATGTCTAAATCTTGCTGGTTCTGTCTGAGTGAGATCTGTAAGCTACGGCCTTTCCGACCCACCCACACAGCCAACGCTCTCTCGCCCGAGCTCTCACCTCCTGGCTCAGTTACTGAAAGACCACTTTGCTCTGGGCTTGACAAGTGCCCAGTCTTGCCCTGCTCCTGTCCATTCAGACTGCTGCTGCGAAGTTCATTCTCCTAGACCTTCGCTTGGACCATGTCACCGTCTTTGTATCCCTCCACTGGCTCCTCCTTCTGTATCACATCAAACATACGCTGCCTTTCATCACTTTCAAGGCCCTTCGCCCCACCCTACCCCTTCTCTGTCATTCAGTAGCAAGGAGCTGACTCCTCCTCCGATGGGTCCATAGTGCCAGCCTCCATCCCCCACTTGTTAAATCTTCAAACAGGTACCTTCATCCTCTCACCCATGCTGCCTCATATGTGGGGTTGAGACCCCCCATAAACAGCTGCAATAAAGCTCCTTCCCTCAAAACTCTCCTTTCCTGTGGTGCCTATAAATCCTTTGACAGGGGTTAGGCGGCTGGTGCGGTGTGACCCCTGCCAACCAGCGATACTGTCTCATTGTTCTCCTCTGCCTGTCTCCATCTGTTATCTCTTCTGCTTTGGGGCAGGGACCGTCCTCTTGTTCTGGGTTTGTACAGCGCCTAGCACAATGCAGGCCTGGTCCATGACTCGGGCTCCTAGGCGCTACTACATATTCTGCTGCTTATAGAACGGCTTAATTCTCCTGCCGGGGAGAGGATGAGAGAACAAACACGTGGCAGATGTTAGAGATATTGCTTAAGCACGACTGGAAGATGCTCGGATACTACAGAGAGGAGCCTAGCATAAGAACCTATACTGAACAAATAGCATCAACCCACTCTTTTAAGGCAGATCTCTGATACAGTCAGGGGCAGTCTCCTCTATGGCGTCTGGGGGGACAGGGAAACTAAGACATTTCTCAGGTTGCATGTTCCTAAGGTACTTACATGGCCCTATCACCACAGTATCAGAGCACCGCATACCCTTTAACGCAGTTATCCTCAGAACACTCCCACTAAACTCCTGTGCTCTAGGTGGGGGGAACAGGATGCCTGGGCCATAAAAGGGGATTACACGCAGGTCTACTGAGTACCTGCCAAGCACCCTAACCACTGAGCCATCCTTCCTCTACCTCTCCGAGTAGCTGCACGCCTATTGCTCTTCGGGATGGAGAGGGGCCAACTCAGTGTTCCACAGAATGATATGGAAAAGGGCCCTTCCTTGCCTCGTGCTCACCCTGCGGGTGGCAAGCAGCTCTCCCTCGTCCGACCCCTGCCCCAGCGTCCAAGGCAGCGAGATCACTCAGGTGGCACCTAAAGGCACTGCCCGCCGCCAGACCCCGAAAGTGTGGCTCTCCTAGGCTAGCCACCGTCACCAGCGCAGACAGCCCCTGGGCCCTGATCTAGTTTAATCACACAAGAAACCGCGGTGGCAGCCTCCTAGATAAGAGCCTTGAGAACTGAGCACAAGCCTTTAACCAGTGGCCAATGGTGGCCTCATAAAGTGAATCGTTAACCAGAGCAGGAGCTGAAGGGGACCCGCACGGCGCTCTCTATGAAACACGTGGAGGGCCTGATTCAGCTCCCCCGCTAAGTGGTCCCTTCCCTCGCCCTGGTTTCTGTAGCGTTGCCAGTGGAGTAAGGAACCATTCATTGTAAGAAAGGCAGAGTTGAGCCCGATGGGCTGGATCCCTACCCCCTGGCTGTCTGGCTGCTCTCCTCTTTGAGCCAGGGAGCGGGGGGAGCCCTGGCTTCAGCCGCCTTTCTTGCTGGCCTGGTGTATAAGGGGGATAGAGCTGCTTTCCCGCGCCCTCCGAGCAAGGAGGTGAGCACTGTGACCACTGTGCGAGGTCCGCTCACTCAGTCACAATCTAGCCAGGGTGACCAGATAGCAACGGTGAAAAAAACAGGACAGGGGGTAGGGGGTAATAGGTGCCTATATAAGAAAAAGTCCCCCAAAACAGGACTGTGCCTATAAAAACAGGACATCTGGTCACCCTAAATCTAGCCCTCTCTGAACAGCTGTGTGTGTCCCCTGTGAGAAGCTGATGGGAGGCCTGCATGGTAAATGACAGGCTAGGTGCCTTTGTTTGTAGTGTGTGTAGCTTTCCAGGATTATAGTGGGGTGTTACCAGGTACTACTCAGCTTCAATACTGACAGCCAAATCTGGCTGCGTGCCGGCCTGGCCACCTCCCGTTGGAGCCCCCTGAGTGTGAGCTGGTGACATGCCCCAACTGAGACGGGCCTGAGCTCAGATCTGGACTTTGTCAGAGTTTGGAGGTGTTTTCATACAGGCCGATTCCCAGTCCCTCAAGTGGCTACCTGGAGTGCAGGGGTACTAGGAAAGGAGCAAAAAGAACAGCAAAAAGGCACCCTAGAGACTAACAAATTTATTTGGGCATAAGCTTTCGTGGGCTAAAACCCACTTCATCGGATGTGGAAAGGAAAGGAGCGTTAACATGCACAATGCTTGTAACGCACCCTCCACCTTTCAGACACTAATGGGCAGGTGATGCAAACTTCACCTAGCTAATAGCGCTTAGTTTGAAGCTCCCCTGCAGATCTTCCATGTACACAATTCCACTGAATTCATTACACCCCTGGGGCATTTTGTTTGCAGAGGGCCATTAAACAGAACCTTTCCAAGCAAGAAAATGCAAGGCAAGGCAATTCACTCTGAGTTCCGTTCAATCCAGTCCAGCCACTGTTCCTTCGGGCAGGGAGGAGATCAGGTTAAGCTGATAGTGTAATACACCCAAATCCAAAAGATATATACATCCAATGATCCAAGCCTAGTGAAGTCAATAGAAAGATTGCTGTTAATGCAATAGGCGCTGGATGAGACCCAAGTCTTCCCCATCCTTGGAAAGGAACAGTCGTGTGAACAGGGGCAAGATATCTGTCTCCCCTCACTATGCTGCTGGAAAGCAAAGATTTGTTCATCCTTTTCAGCACACAGATTTTTGTTTACTATCAAGGCGAGGGCTTAACCTGGTGAGTAAGTCACTGGGTTGGAGCTCCCTGCTCTGCCACTGACTTCCTGTGTGACCTTGGGCAAGTCACTTGAGTTCTCTGTGCCTCCGTTCCTGCGCTGTAAAATGGAAATCCTTGTCTACCTAGCCCCCAATCCTGCAGTCAGCTCTGGGTAGGCATACCTCTACAGCCAGACCACCCCTTTGGGGAAACTAAGGCAGGGAGACTTGCCTGTGGCCACACACAAGTCACCAGACTGGAATTTGGGATTGCTTGACTCCAAATTGTGCTTGCTCCACCGGACTACGTTGCCTCTCAGAGTTCTTGGGAGTGGAATTTGCTCCAAGCCACAGTTCCCTTTTCTTGATCACGTGTATCGTCATCTACAGGCGTCGTTTATATTTTCCTAAATCTAATGGCGTTATGCCCTATGCTAGAAGGAAAGAATCTATGCTCAGGAGAACAAAAGGCTTGCTGTACTGGCTGGTGGCAGCAGGCAATGTGCAAACTTCCTCACCCATCTTGCTCCATAGAACCAGTATGATTTGTGATGGTCACTGCCAGTTGTGTGCTGAACCGGTCTTGCAGAGAGGTGTCCTGGGAACCCCTCGCTGAGACCACCAAACTCAACTCCCCGGACCGATCACCACTGGATTTCAACCCAGTCTCAAGAAACAAAAACCGGAGTGTGTTAACCTGCCTGCATCACCATGGCCCCAGTTTTAATGATGATTTATGATGAACTCATGCCGCAAAAATAAAATCAGTAAGCCAATGGAAATATATAGGATCACCCCCCAGATCGCCACAATCTAATCCCATATTCATTTCAGCATCTGAAAGTCTCCATTAATTATCGTGCACCAGTAGGCAAAATATCGCATGCTGCAGACTCAACTCTATTCAATATTTCCCAAGCTTGGGACAAATTTAGTTTTAAAACATGGAGACAGAACTAACCCATGCTTATTTCTCTCGCAATAAGCCCCAGCATGATGCAGATACCACTACACACAGTCACTTTAACTTGATTTTTTTTTTCCTCCAAAGCCTAAAGAACTTGGATTTTCTGTGTGTGAGTGATGCTGGGGTTTTGTTTTGGTTTTTGTTGTTGTTGTTTGGCTGGTTGGTTTTTTTGTTTTGTTTTTTTGTATGTTCCTTTATATTTTTCTTCTCTTATGCAATCACCTGCTTTCAAGTCACAAGATTTCCAAGACTGAAAACCCTGGGTCTTTTCTCAGCTCGTTCAAAATTGGCAAATATTTCCCTTTCCCTTGGGGTTTTTGAATTTTATTTTTTGGAAAGGCATTCCAAGTTTGCCAATAGGATAGTGTCTGTTATTTGAAGTGCCTGGGCCAAATTCCTCTCTGGTGTAACTCCACCGGCTTCAACAGAGTTACACCAGGGTTGCATTTGGCCCCCTATTTCCTGTCTATTCCCCTTACACTTTACTGCAATCTCCGAAGAGTGGCTCCTCCTGACTTGGGGGGGGGGGAGGGAAGTCCTGTGGGCAGGGTCCCCCCAGCTCAGCGCGTCTCTGCAGCGGCGGCTGCAGCTGCTTTGCTCGGAGGAAGTTGACTCTGAAGCCCTAATCGGCCCATGTGATCGCCGTGCACCGAGTAGGTGGTTGGTTCTGCCCAGCCCCAGGGCAGAGGATGGGAATCCAGCATGTGACAGAAACATATTTTTACTCCACCCCCTAGGACTGGATTGCCAGCGAGCCAGACAGGGAGATCAAAGCATCGGCTGCAGCTCTTCACAAGGTAAAGTGCAACTTCCCCTTCTCATGATCGGTTCTGAGGGGGTTCAACCGGGGATCTGGTCGGAAAGGGACTGAGGGTGCCTATTGCTAATCAATACGGTTCTTAAGCTGAGAGTTTCCCTGCCCTGTAGCAATCACCAGCACTGCCCTGCTGCTGCAATTGATAGGGCAAGTGAAGGATGTTGACAGCAGCAAAGGTAAGAATGGTGTCTGGAGAGAGGAGGGAGAGAAATACCTGTTTTATTTTGGGAGGGGTGGTGCTCAACGCAGGTAAACTTTCCAGAAAGAAAGAGAGCTACATTCTGGATTAACCTGTAAAGCAGAGAGGCTAAACTTTGTCCAGAAGTACAGTCCAGCTATCGCAGCCCTGCCTGGAACGTACCTCAAAGTCCTATGCTAGTTTAATCAGCAGGAAAGAACAGTGGAAACCGGTGTATGCTCCCCTGACATTGAACGCCCTTCGAGCAGGCCTCGGAAATTATGTCGCTCTTCAATATTACGGCAGATACCCAGCCTGAGGCTGCAAAATGCCAATTTAAAGTGTGTTCGTTAAATTTCACATGCACTCCATGTCATCCACGTGGAGGGTGACCAGATGTCCCGATTTTATAGGGACTGTCCTGATATTTGGGGTGTTTTCTTATATAGGCTCCTATTACCCCCCACCCCGTCCCGATTTTTTACACTTGCTGTCTGGTCACCCTGTCCGTGTGGCTGGAGGCGCCCTTCTTTAGCTGAACTTTCAGAAGAGCCTGCTGTGGGAAGCAGGGCAGTTTCCTCTGACTGAATCTCCATGCTCCCATGGGTTTAAGACATAGCCTTGCTTCCCTATCAATGGAGGAATTGTCCACGTACTGGATGGCCTATCGATTTCAGCTGAAGCTGTGTGGGTAAATCTAGTGCAATCTCTGAAAATGTACGGATCATTACTTTGTGCGTGTGTGGTAATTTCATTTGCAATGCAGTATTAATTATTAATAGATCTTCATGGAAGCTTATAAACCATTCCTAGAATCTAGAATAGATCTAGAATCCATTCAAGATATAATCCTGCCTACTTTTGCCTCCACACTCCTGTTGACTTTAATAGAGCCACAAGGTGTGCATGATGTAGGGGATCATGCCCCAATGGGTTAATTTTTAGCATCGTGTAAGCAGAATAAATGGGGCAACTCCCATTATTGTTAACAGAGTGGCTATCTAATCTGCCCCATGTAGGGCTGACTCCTATAAAACCACTGGGGCAGTGGGAAGTAACTTTCTTTGAAGACTCTCAGTCTCTTAGGTTTTATCGTTTCAAACGAAACCTACTCCTGGCCCTTGTCTAGAGGGGAGCTTAGTTTCATTTTTGGAGATCAACAATTGTTGAATTTATAGGATGCCACTTAATGGATCCTGGCAGATGCGGGGTGCCCGCAAGTCCTGCTGTCTTCATTGGCAACCGAGGGCACATAGAAGGCACCTCGCACCATGCCAGACTGGGCCCTTCCTTTACCTTCTATCTGTCTTTTGCTACTGAGTCTTTAAATGGAGAACAATTCCCAACCATCCAGCGAGGGAACAACGCTGTTGCTTCCAAGCACGGATATTTTTATTGATCCTGTGGCTCTTAAATACAGCACGCCGCAGAGTGTTAATGATTTGCAAATATTAACACATTCCTAAAGGGGAGGGCATGGATGTGGGGGAGGAGGGTGTGTGAGAGAGTAGATATTATTTAAAAAAGTTCTGAGTACATATTGATGACGTCTACTTGACACCCTGCCAGTGTCCTGTGATTTCCAGAGAACAATTCTTCTGCCTCAAAAGTCTTTAAAAGAACAATGAAGGTCTGAAGCCATTTCGCCTGTGCCGTGTCTTCCTCCTTCACTTTTTGTCACCCCATCAGTTATTCCCTCCCCCCCTCGTTTATAATTTTATAAAAACATGCATGGTTAAGAAGAACTATTACCTAGAAATTATGTTCTGTGAACCTTGATCATTATATACTTTTAAAAACAACTCTTTACATAATTCTCCCAAAATTATAAAAGGCCCCACTCCTCGGCAAGGCTTATGAAAGCAAAACAATTGTGGGGTTTTCAGGCCTTCCTATTTTAAAGCTTTGCTGAGCCAAAAAGGTACAATTACTGTTCAGATTTCAAACCACCAGATTCTGGAATAAAATGTCCAAACATGGAGTTATTCCAGAATAGCTATTTCACTTTAAATGTTGTCAAGGCTGCTTCCCCACTCTGAACTTTAGGGTACAAATGCGGGGGCCTGCATGAAAACTTCTAAGCTTAACTACCAGCTTAGATCTGGTCCGCTGCCACCATTCCCAAGTGGATTCCCTTCCCTGGGAAGCCTTGAGAAACTCTTCACTAATTCCCTGGTGAATACAGATCCAAACCCCTTGGATCTTAAAACAAGGAGAAATTAACCATTCCCCTCCTTCCTCCCACCAACTCCTGGTGGATCAAGATCCAAACCCCTTGGATCTTAAAACAAGGAGAAATTAACCATCCCTCCTCCTTCCTCCCACCAACTCCTGGTGAATACAGATCCAACCTCCTTGGATCTAAAAACAAGGAAAAATCAATCAGGTTCTTAAAAAGAAGGCTTTTAATTAAAGAAAAAGGTAAAAATCATCTCTGTAAAATCAGTATGGAAAATAACTTTACAGGGTAATCAAACTTAAAGAGCGCAGAGGCCCTCCCTCTAGCCTCAGGTTCAAAGCATAGCGAACAAAGATAAACACCAGAGGAAACAGAGCCCCAGGGAGAGCTGCAGATCCTGCAATACCTAGA